GGGTTGAGGGGTTTAGGGGCTTAGGTTGAGGGGCTTAGGGTTTAGGGTTTAGGGTTTAGGGCTTAGGGTTTAGGGCCAAATGCAAGTCTGGTTGCGCAGGACGAAAGCCAGCCCTAAACTAGATGGCTCCGCAACGGAAAACGGAAAACTACCAGCTGCATAATCCAAACCTGTACCGGGGCATAGACATTGAGCCCTTTACACTTGGAAGACCGTACTCCCAAACCCCGAACCCCCCAAAAAAATGGACAAACTCTAAACCCTAAACCCTAAGACCGTTACCCAACACAATGCCCTCGAGTCCCAGAGTCAACCCTTAACCCTCAACCCCAAACCCTAAACCCCTAAACCCTAAACCCCTAAACCCCTAAACCCCTGAACCCTAAAGCCCTAAGCCAAGACAAAAACCTTACCACCAGAGCCTAAACCCTAAACCCTAAACCCTAAACCCTAAACTTCTAAACCCTAAACCCTAAACCCCTAAACCCGAAGCCGCCCCCGAAAGCCGAAGCCCTGAAGCGATACGTGGCCCAGCAACAGCCCACGACGAATCCCCGCGTAGCTGCAGACCAATCCTGAGGGTTTAAGGTTTTAGGCTTTAGGGGTTTAGGGGTTTAGGGGTTTAGGCGTTTAGGGGTTCGGGAGTTCAGGGTTAGGGTTTAGGGTTTAAGGTTTCTGTGTATATTATACTATAACTCTAATAAGGTTTAGGGGTTTAGCGTTTTGGTGTATTAACTATAACTCTAATAAAGGAACCCCAAAATTTGATTGGTAGTTCTTCGCGTCCCTAGAATACAGAACCTGTATTATATTATAACTCTCATAAGGAACCCCCAAAATTTGTATTGGTAGTTCTTCGGGCCCCGAAAATACAGAACCTATATTATACTCTAGCTCTAAAAAGGAACCCCAAAAAGGGTATTGGTAATGATTTGGGCCCCTAAAATACAGAACCTAAGCCCAAAGCCCGGTAGAGCAATGCAACAAACCGAAGCCCTGAAATCCCGAATCGCGAAGACCAAACTTTTAAGAATCCCCCTATATGGGAATGTCAGAAAACTCGGGTACCTTATTTTGGGGTCCTTATAATAAGGATCCTACTAGTTGGGGTCCTATATCAGGGTCCCTTATTTTCTGAAACTCCCATATAAGCGATTGGGAACCGGCCTCCTTGCATCTTTCGGATATGCAGGGTTTAGGGTTTAGGGTTTTAGGGTTTTAGGGGTTGAGGGGTT